CTTCATCAATGTTTTTTGATTGAATGAATAAGACTGAAAAACACATTTCAGCTAGATGGCATATTGTGGCAATAACTAAAACTCTGTGATTACATGTGGTAGATGGCAAATTGTGATGATCATTGCAAAAACACTTGTGGCATTAACAAACCTTATTATTTATTTATTTATTTATTTATTTATTTATTTATTTAACTAGAAATTCTATGACAGCTAAATCTCTCTCTCTTCCTTTGACATTATTTATAAATCTCGGAAACAACAGTCATCTGTAGTAAGCATATTAACATTTACAAATTCAAATACAAAACAAATAAATAACCCCTGTAACTCCACTCATCGATGGGTATTCTATGCATAATCGTTGTGTACATAATTGGCAATTTAATGAATAGTTGAATGTTGTGATGATTAAATGTAAAATCAATTCAACTATTGAAGTTACTTTACTTCTTTCTAGCTTTAATAATAGGACCCATAAAATTAGAAGCATACCAAAGATATTAATTTTACCAAGATTTAGTGCATTATTAGTTTACTCTGGAAAAAAATTTACAAAAACATTTTTTGCACCTAAATGTCATATTAAAGTTGGGTCACAACTTGACACAATTTCATATGTTATATTGCATGCAAAGATTATTTTGCAATGTATTTTAAAAGAATCTTTTGATTGTGTGTTACATAATAAACCTAAGTATGTTACCAGACAATAGCAAAACTTTCAAACCTAGATCGATTTGTTGAACAAAAGAAAAAGAATGCAATAGTTTAGATCATGTAACATGCATAAGTGTGTATGCTAAGCTATATCTATATATGTGAATATATATATATATATATATATATATATATATTATCTTGCACAAGTATGTATTTATTTGTTGATGATCAATGACTTTAATTACCTTGTTCAAAAAATATTGAAGTGCCTAGAGTATCTTTTATGTATTCACGTTAGTAAGAAATTAAACTAATTTGAATCTTAATGTGTGATCATTTATGTAAGAATTCATGATTTTATTCTTATAATTTACCTTTAGACAATAAGTTGATAGAACCTATTTACTCAAATGCATGAAATACATTCACCATTATAAATAATGAATAAAGTAGTCATAAAAATATTTCACCATCATTTATAAATTTATGAATTCATATATATATATATATATATATATATACACATACAAACTTGCACCTTTCTATTTTATTTTATGAGATAAAATCATAATGAATAATTAAGATAACACAGCATGAAACAATGCATTGTAAATAAATAAAATAGTAGTGATTTGGTGTTGCAAAGCAAGGCATGAACGAAAATTTGAGAGAAAAAAGCTAATATAAGAGCATTTATTACTTACAAGTTATTCAAAACAGTGATCAAAATAATCCTATTAGAAATGAACTAAACCCAAAATCTTAATTTTATTAACAGAAAAATTAAGAATTACACTGAACAGCTTTGTATTTTTAGAAACTATGAGAGATATTTTAATATTGAATTTGAAAGCTAAAAAAGGAAAATTTGAGTCATTTTTCAGAATTAGTCACAACTTATTACGTACTTTGTACTGAAATAAAAGCATAATGCGAATTAGCAGATTTCCTTTTTGATAATTTTCCAGATTGAATCACAACCATGAAATTTTAATTTAATTATTCCAGTTATTACGTTTTTTTTTTTTTTTTTTTTTTTTTTTTTTTTTTTCTCACTAAAGACCGATATTTATGTATTGAACGGTTAAATTTTATTGTTTTTGAAATTAATATTATAAAAAATTCGTCTAATTTGACATGTGTTTTGCATGAATACCACTCATATGTGCCAAGCATGTTAGTTAAAGCTAGTCAATGCATTGTTTCATGCTGTGTCAAAATCAAATCTTATTACATAATTCAAAACATTCCACAATTCATGTTTTAAAATTTCAAGATGATACATTCTTTCCTCACCATACTCTTTTTCACTTATTTTTGTAGGAAAATAATTAGCATGAAAGATGTATTAAATCTATGCAAGCATATAATCAATACAATATTTTTATATTTCTTGAAGTTTAGAATTTCACGTAGGTATGAATATATATATATATATATATATATGTGTGTGTGTGTGTGTGTGTGTGTGTGTGTGTAATTGTTACAAAAAAACCCTTGTAAAAATTATTTTAAACTTACTTATTTTTCTGAATTTTATAACTCCAATTTAAGGACAAGAGGTGTTCAATTTCAACATGTTTTATATGGAAAAGTATTGTATTTTAAGAAAATTTACTTGTAGAAAATAATGAAGCAATTACACTCAATTGTATTGAGTTACTTTGAGATTTCGAGGATAAAAGCCAAAGAGAAAGATTTGGCTTCTTAAATTGTAACAATAATTATTGTTATTTGGTCTATGATTTTTTATTTTTAAAATTTTTTCCCTTATTTTTCAAAGTAATTAAGTTTTTTAAAATCACATCTCCGTCATTCTTATTTAGTTCACAGGAATTTTCTAGCAGATTTTTTTTTAATCTAATAGGCTCAATATATATATATATATATATAATGTCATTATCAGTTGACATATCGTTTGTCCAGATGAATAGGTCAAGTTGCTATTCATGCATTGTGATATAATAGAGAAAATATTATCTTCATAGTTCAACAAGTTTGCTACTTTTCTAAATTTAGACAAATAATTAAAAAAGAAAACATTACATGAAACATAAATATGTTAATAAGCAAATTCTACTTGTACATTATGTTTAATTTTACTCTTGTTTTTATATTTGAATTATGAGGTGATAATTAAGTTTCTAAATCATCTAGTATTCCAGCTTTGGCTCTTTTCAATGGCAATTTGTTAATTTTAAATGTATGTGGAGAACCAACTTTTGTGCAAATTAGCACATGAGTTAGCACACAACATACCAATCCCAATGCTACAAAGCAATACACATATTTATATAAATAAACAAGCATGCTTGAATTGTATTTTTGGGCTCAACACACATTCATAACAAAATAGAAATAGAAAAGAGGTAAATGTATGAGACACTACACACACTCAGTCTTTGCCCTAGAAAGCTGGGTCAAACCATTCATTCATTCCAAGTACATTTCATGAACCCTTTTTTAATGAAATGGATTGAGAAGACAACAATAATAACAAGAAGAAGAAGAAGAATGATAATTATAGAGATATTCTGCTACTACTCAATGGTATACAACAACAACAACAACATCCCTTAAGACTGACTCCAACACCTCCACACAGCCAATAACACCCCCCTGAAAGCGCATGGGAACAAGGATACAAAAGGAAAAGGGGGCGGGGGCCCCTTTATTTTTATTATCTCACAGACAGACAGACAGACAGACAGACCCAAGCCCGCACCACCCCACCACCCAACCCTACCACCATGCCTACGTGGCATGAATATGGAGAAGTGGGAGAAGAGTGTGGACTCTTCTCCCACTATTAACACCACCACCACCACAACTCAACTCAACGCAACACATGCAACTCCTACAACTCCTGGTTGAGGGGGGGAGGACCTTTTGAATATGACAGAAACAAAGAAGGATCCATTGATGGATTGATTGGCAATGATATGAACCCCAGTTGACCCCACTTCCCTTAATTCCATCCCCCTCCTGGCTTCATCATTAACCAAGCCTTGATAGGGGAGGGGAGGGAGGGGCTCTCAACGCCCTGCATGGCACACCAGAGCATACTTCTTCTGTAGAAAGGAACCCACTTAGATACATACAACCTTTACTATCGAAGGTGACCACGCCCCCCTCTCTTTGTTTGGTGTTATTATTCATTCCTTTTCTTTACATATATTCTATGCAACACACGACGACGTTCATAAGTGTACAATTATTCAATACTTTACCCCCCCCCCCCAGTATGGTTCGATTGATTCCTGGGCCCGATTCCCCATTGTCGTCCCCCCAGGGATACCGAGAGAGAGAGAGAGAGAGAGAGAGGGCGGCGTCCTTGGGTCGTTAGAAGAGAAAACGGCTTACGACAGCTCTGGGAATTTGTCGTCAGCCGCCAGTTCTGATGTCGCGGACTAAAAGGCGGCGTCCACTGGAGATGCAACTTGTTTGTGACTCCGTCGGAGGGAAGCAGGGAGGGAGGTGACAACACTACTACGTCGATGGCTTCTAAGCCAGCCAGCCATCCCGCAACTGGCAGAGCGGCAGAACACAGCAGCGGCACACAGCGTTGGAGGCTGGCTGGCTCATCGTCGTGGAGTCAAGCGGAGGAGGAGGAGTAGGAGAAGGAGAGCAGGAGGGGAAGAGATGATTGGATTGCAGCAGCTGCTACGCTCTCATTGCTGCTGCTGTTGCTGTTGAATCTGCAACTGTAATCTGCAGGTTTTTTGTCAGGAGTGAGCGCCATATCCAGCAGCAGCGTCATTGATTCTGTGACGTTAATGCTAAGCGCGGGGAGAGAGGGAGGGAGTGGAGGGGGGGATAGCTGTTACCATGTGCGCCATCTCTGCCTCAGCGAGTAATACCTCTTTTCTGTGGGCATACCTCCTTGGATTGCCTGCCTGCCACGGTGTGGTGCGCGTTCCTGTCTTTGTCGGAATCGTCTTGGCTTCTTTTCTCGAGGCTGCTCTGATGGCGTAAGAAAGTAATCAGCACGAGCGTTGGCGAGCAGATCGCAGAACCGGGCCGGGTGACATCAGGTGAGGGGGCGTGGAGGTGATAAGAAGGCGTGGAATGTAGTTGGATTCTTCTATGTGAAGATGAATTGGACGTTTCCTTCCTGTTTTCTTCGTCATGTTATTTTTTTCATTCTTTGACTCCCGAGTATTGCATTTCCAGCTGTAATGGTTAGTGGATCTTTCGTAAACTCGTTCTGTTTGCTAGACTTCCGTTGGAGGGGAATCGTGCATCGCGCTGTAGTTTGCCTCGTCGCCGGGTCGTTGAGGTTGGAAGCCTCTGGTGTAATTTGTTGTTCTTGGTTTTGGTCTTTTCGATTCCGCTGCGTCGGTGGTCACAGCTCCTTTCTGTTCCTGGTTTCTCTCCATTAGAGTAGAAGACTCACTAGGAGACCAGCGAACTTGTGTCGTTGTGTTTCAGCTGGATCTTTCCGATTGATTGTCATTCTTTTCTTTTCTTTTTCTTTTGTTAATTTCAGAGGAATTTCTCAGTTTAGCACCCTGGCGGCAGACTTGTACGTGTCATACAGGAATGCCTTGTACATTGGCATTCCACACAACAGAAGGAGATGTTGACACTTTTAGTGTTGAAGCTGAGTTTGTCGTCCTTCTCCTCTCTTATGTCATTATCAATGGTTAGCAACATATGCCCAAAGCATTGAAAGCCATTTAACCTTGACGCTGTGCTCTCGTGATCATGGATAGAGACAACACTTTCCAGGGTTGCATCATTCGCATCCGAGAGGGAATATACCGCAGCCTGAACGCAGACATTGGCGTCTATTACTACTGTATCATTGGCGTCTATTGATCGTGTCGAATTCTACCAACCTCTGATAGGAACTTTTCTGGAACTCTGAACCATCGATTTTGGAGAATTCCTGCTCATAGCTGGGAATTGCTGCTCTAATATTCCTCCTTGCCCCCACTATTCACCACTAAATAAAGTTTTAGAGAGTTGCTGAAGACTTATACCTCCATCACGTATAGCACCCGCGCATATATTTACCTGGAGGATATGGATAGAGCTGTAGCATAGCCACCGATTTGATTTCGTACTCCATATACTGTCCAGGCAGCCTGTGTGGAAGTGAGGACAATCAACTCGTGACTTATTTGTCATTCCCTCTCAGTCTGAGAAAGACCACGCAAATCATTGAAAGATCTCTTTGGCCACCGGTGACTTCAACCGTTCCTTGTCTTGAGCGGTAATGAACACCCTGGAGGCAGAACGTTGGATCGGGATCAAAATCCTTTCAGTAAGGAGGCCAGGTCGTAAAAAAGACTCCTGATTCACAAGAGGATAGCCCGTTGCAATTGCACTTTAAAGTTGCTCGTTGAAACACGAGACGAAACATAACTACCATCTGTGTTCTAGTGAAGGTCCACCTAATCTTCCGTTTAGTTGCCTCCAAGAATTGTCTTCCGGGTTTTATTTTAAGTCTATTTTGAGGAGCAGAAGAGCTCTTCAAGCAATCATCATATTTAGTTCGGAGCAATTAGTGAGCCTCCCTAGTGTTCTACGTGTCTAAAAATTTCATTTGTTACCGGATGTTGTAACAGGCCAGATCATGCAATGTTGAAATCAAGAGTAATTCTAAGTTTTGGAGCGGAGGAGAATGCGAAAGTGAGGAGCTCTTTCTTATTTTCACAGGGTGTTTGTGTCATGAGACGCGCGATCTATCATATGCTTCTCCTGTTTGTGCTCATATTGAACTTGCTATCTTCCACTTTGGCATTGTCGTCTGATGGTGAGTTTCATCCACAGTTCTTCAATTTTCTCTTCAATGTTCGTAACAGAAAAGATTTGATATAAGTAACGTTGTCATCAGATTTTTGTTTTGTTTTGTTTTGTTTTGTTTTTGTTCTTTTGGTTAAACTTAAAACTAGTACTTTTAGTGAGAAGAAGTGGTTTTAAGATAATAGTGGGGGTTAAGTATCATGTTTTTCAACACTTAGACATGTGTTGTAAGCGTGGGGAATTCGTTACCTTTATGGAAGAAAATCGCCTCTAATTTGTAATTTAATGTCAGGGATTTGAAGGGTCTGTGAACGCAAATACTCATTATGGATTCTTATGTCTTCAGGCTTGGCGTTGTTGTCGCTTAAAGCACTGCTTCACGATCCTGATAACTATCTTGCCAACTGGAATGAATCTGATGCGGACCCGTGCAGATGGTCTGGAGTTAGGTGCCAGTTACAAACTAGCCGCGTTGAGTTTTTGTAAGTAGTTATTCTGTGGCAACCTCATACTTTTTTAACTTGGACACTCCTTTGGTATTAAAAATCAGAGAAAGCAGGAAATTTGCCAATGACTCGCAGTCTTAGTGATAAATGTGTAAGCCCATCAATCATGATTATTTTGTTTTTATTTTTTTAATTTGGAGGAATAGTCGCGTATTTATTCTTGCATGAAAATTTATGTTTTCCAGGGCACTTCCATCCAAACAATTGCGAGGATCTATATCACCGGAAATTGGCAAGCTCGACCAACTCCGTAGACTGTATGGCCTCCATCCAAAAATCTTCTCTTGAGCTACTGCACACACTCTCTCAGAACTCGAGGGTTTGCATGTCAACCTTAATTCGATTGTGCTTGTCATCTGGGTGTGAACGAAAGCTGCTTATCCTCTACCAACATCTTTGATGTCAGCTTAAGCAGCTCTCCCTCGTGGACAGAATCTTTCTAACCTTCTGGAGAAGATCATTGTGAATGGCCTCTCAGGTGGTTTGGAGGGACTCACGGCAAGCAAATAGATATTTGTGCGCGTATCCCCTGTACTGTTGGCTGAATTTGAGCACTCCGTCTGGTGGCAGAAGATGAGTGAGCAGCTGTAATCTTTTCCATGTCTTAATCACAGTATCCTTGAACTCATGTGCTGCAGGAGCTTACATTCAAACGAGCTCTACGGACCCATTCCAAAGGAGCTCGGCAACTGTTCATCATTAAGACAATTGTAATTTCATAGCGCTTTCAGAATGGATGAGTTTAGATCACTACATTGGTACCGGAGTCTGAAATAGTATGGACATCGGTACAACTGTTATCGTTGATAAATCTTCAATTTAATAGTACATCATTCGATTTTGCATTTCAGATTAGATTATGAACTATACCAAATTGCTATAATATTCTCTTATCCTCTACTACTACTACTAATAGTACCAATAATTTCAAATAACAATAATATGCCTTTTGATTTGGATTTCGATGGTCTTTTTGTTCACTGTGAATCAACCGAGAACGTTAATAACCTGAGCAAACCAACCCACTATGTGATTTTCATGATATCCCTCATATTGTAGCTTAGCAGTGAATTATTGGAAGTGACAGCTTTAACATCTCTGCAGGTATCTACATAGAAATTTTCTCACTGGGAGCATACCATTAGAGCTTAAAGATCTGAAACTTCTTGTAACGTTGTAAGTATCCTCGTTCACCTTATTACATAAACCTTCTGTCCTGGATTTCTATTGCAATGACCTAAGAGTTTTGATCATGAGACAGCAAGTTAATTGAAGTCAGATCGAATTTTCTATTCCTTTACAGGGACTTGGCGAGCAATGGACTAACGGGTAGCATTCCCAGTTTCATCGGTTCGCTTTCTAGACTTGGCTTTCTGTACGTATCTCAACCTTTTTGTGTACTGGGTGCTACTGAAGCCTTATTTTATATTAAGCTCATGTAATGCAAAAATATCTGGGAAGATAAAGTTTGAGAACTGAAACATTAAGATTAGGAGGTCGCACAGCTTCGGCATGTTCAGAAATATTAAAATCGTCGTGGGCTTTCTATGCAGAAACGTTTCCTCCAACTTTCTGACGGGCGAGATTCCAACAAATGGGATCTTGGAAACCTTCACTGCACAGTCGTGAGTGTCCATCCTTCCTAAAGGATCCTTCTTCTATTCTGACGTCTAAGCAGAACTATACCTACATACTTGAATAGTGTCGTGTATGCAATCAGTTTGATGGAAATTTATTGTCTTGCAGGTTCCTGGAAAACCCAGGGCTTTGCGGTTCACAAGTGGGAATTGATTGTCGGGGTGTCTCCCCTGCTACCGCTCCATCAAAACCATCTCCAGCAAGTCCTCCACCATATTCTGTGCCCCTGCCTCTCGGAGATGGAAACAATCCTGCACGGTCTCCAGGTGCAGGTTCAGGTGATTCTGGATGCTGCTGGCTAACCTCTTCGAACAATATTTAGTAAAATTGGTTGAAATTTGGTGGATAAGTAATAAAACCTTTCAGACTTTGCTGAGGAGCACATTTGTAGAGAAGTCCGCATGCATCTTCAAATACCGGATGACATTCGTTTTGTAGTGGTGATTTCTGAAGTAGTCAACTGCAAAAATGCGATATCCTTAACAATGGCCCTTGTTTTTTGCAGCCGCTGGAGAATCTACACCAGGAACTAGCACAAAAGCTCAGAAGCACGGTTACTCCAATGCCCTTTTGATAAGTGCAATGAGTACTGTTTGCACTGCCTTACTACTTGCTTTAATGTGTTTTTGGGGCTGGTTCTTGCGTAATAAGTACGGGAAACGGAAACTGAATCTTTCCAAAGTCAAAGGTGCCGAAGGTGCGACCTCATTCTGTGTTACACAGATTTGTGTTGTGCTAGTTAGAAAGCTGTAAGCTTGGAAAATGCTAATCACAGGGTTGACCATTGGTTTTTCTCATTCAGTTTGGTTTCAAGAGATTTCATTATTAAGCAGCTGTTCTCGAGAGCGTTCACCTTAGTTTGTGTGACCATTTTCAGTAATCCCCTTGTCCTAATGCTAGAACATTATTTGTTTCTTTTCTCGTCATGCAGCATACAATGAAGAAAAGGTGGTTAATTTCCATGGCGATTTGCCTTACACAACCGTGAATATCATAAAGAAAATGGACCTACTTGATGAGAAGGATATGATTGGTTCTGGTGGATTTGGCACGGTGTACCGCCTGCAAATGGACGATGGCAAAGTTTATGCTGTAAAACGTATTGGAGTATTTGGATTGTCTTCTGATCGTGTCTTTGAAAGAGAGCTGGAAATTCTGGGTAGCTTCAAGCACCGAAATCTTGTAAATCTACGCGGGTACTGCAACTCTCCAACTGCCAGGCTCCTGATATATGACTATTTGCCCTGCGGAAACCTGGAGGAATTTCTACACGGTGTGTCTGACTTCTCTGAATTCCTTTCACCATAACCCTTAGCTCTGAAATGTTTAGGGGCCACACGAACTTCAAATGCAGAAAACAACATAGGCAGGTCTATGTTCTTGCATCGCGATGTGATTACTTGAACCGAAGTTAGATTCTTTAGAGAACTTCTTTGTACGTAGCAAACTTCTGTGCACTCGTGTTTATGCGTATCTCATCTGTTTACTTTCTCGAACTTCCTTCAACTTAGTATCATATAAGTGGGATTTCGACTTACGATTAGGGTCAAGAACCTCACAGCTGCTTGCTTCCTGTCTAGCAGATAGGGAGCCGCACGAAGTTTTGCTAAATTGGGCAGCACGTTTGAAGATAGCCATTGGGGCTGCCCGGGGACTTGCGTACTTGCACCATGATTGCACACCCCGTATCATCCACCGCGACATCAAATCAAGCAATATTCTCCTGGATGAAAATCTTGATCCTCATGTGTCTGACTTTGGTTTGGCCAAGCTGTTAGAAGATAAAGCCTCTCATGTGACTACAATAGTTGCGGGCACCTTTGGCTACCTTGCACCAGGTGATTTCCGCGTTGGAACAATGTTTGAGACAGATCTTCAGTCCTGTTCGATAACCTGAGTGATTAGAGGAGAGCGATTGCTTGCAGATGATCACAGCCCTAAAATGATTGTCCTTGTCCTGTCATGATTGATAGACGGAGGTTCGTAAGCAGGGAGCATTCTAGGTCTCTGTCCTTATTCAGAACGTCTGGTGACTTCGATATTAAACTTTGTCGTGTGTATGACAGAATACATGCATACTGGGCGAGCCACAGAGAAAGGAGATGTGTACAGCTATGGTGTCGTTTTGTTGGAGCTTTTAAGTGGCCGACGCCCCAGTGATCCTTCCCTCATTGCAGAAGGCATGAATCTAGTTGGATGGGTAAGAGACTAGCAAGTATCCATTTTACTCATCAATTATATTCTAAATTTATTCTAAACACTGGAAATTTCTTTCTTCCCCTAAGTATGGTTAGGATGTTATCTATTATAATGAAAGTATCAGCTTTACCAAGGGATTCCGACTTAGTGAACTATTCCGGTGCTAAGACCGATTTCCTTTCGAGTTATCAGGTTACACTTTGCATCAAGGAGAACATGCAGTCGGAAATTTTTGACCCTGAGATCTTGGATGGAGCTCCAAAAGATCAACTGGAGTCAGTTTTGCATATTGCTGTGATGTGCACAAATGCTGCGGCGGAAGAGCGCCCTACGATGGATCGAGTGGTGCAATTGTTGGAGGCTGATACCCTTTCCCCGTGTCCTAGCGAGCTCAGCAACTTCTACAGATCACCTCATTCTGACGACGAAGCTCGAGGCCGATAGATGACTCACAACAAGCTTGTAATATCAGCTCAATACCGCTGGCAGCGGGTTTCACCTCTGTACTATAAAGGCCAATCTTCATCAACACGCATTTGATACTACTGCGTTGGCGGGTTCGAGCTTGAACCTTTTGATCTGAGTTCATTTTGTCTCAGTTCCTATAAATATTTATTTTCTCACAGCTGTGGCTATGGAGATGTTTCTTGACACCCTAAGCACTTTTAGCCCACTCTCTAGGGGGTTCACTGTACCGTAGTGGCACACCCGTCGGACATCTGCCAAAGGATTAGGTCGCCAGGAATTTATCTTTGTCACAAAGAATACAAGTCACTATTTTAAGAACATCGCGGTAGCTTTGTGGGCTTGGATGTGAGTAAACTTTCTTATTCTTGTACCCACATCTGTACAATTCTATCTTCAATATGGTGACAGCAAGGCTCACACTTGTTCAAATGCTCTATGGACTGCTCATGCTGAGCTTTATCCACTTGTCCACCTTTGATATGTATTCACGTAGTAATGATTTAGGGATAACTGCTACGTTCTCCCTCCGCTCTGATTTCAGTAGATCACAGAGCTTCGTCTCATAAAGGAAGATTTGGCAAAGGACGGGAGAGCTGGAGGATAATCCTCAATAGCTGTCAGCCGCCAATATAGTTAGGAGCAGGAAAGGACGACAACCAGTCTCATTTCCCTTGTTACCATAGAGGAATGTGTTAGAGTAATCTGAATACACGACTAAGAAGTCATACATACATTTGAATACAATACTCGAGACTAAGACCGTACACACACACTGACATGGATTGAGTACGGTGTCCTTACATATACTCCTCGTGGAGTCATAACAGACGGAGGTATGTCATTCATCCAGTACTTCTAACAAAACCTTGACACTTGAAGTGAATATCGCCAACACCCCCCGCACTTAGAGTTTTCTATGAGTCGGATTTTGATGAGGAATGTGTTTTGACTTTGTGCGCAGGGATGTATGGCCGTCGTGATCCAGCGCCCTTTGATGGTTCACATTGACTTGATACTCAGAGATTCTCGGTGGCGAGTGGATTTTTTTCTTTCTTGGTTCTTTGCTATGGTGGCTATGGTGAGTTGATAATTTCATTTGGTGGGGTACTGATGTCTCATGTATGTAGCTTCAGATGTTTTTGCTTGGTTTTTGGTTCTTGTTGTTGGGCCTTCATTGCTTTTTCGGTTGGTGTCTGGAGATTTGCTACTCATGGATGCGAATTCCTATGGGTGATGGAGATGCTGATGGGAGTTGTCGAAGAAGTCGATTGCCTTGATGGATAATGGTGATTGCCCACGTTTCTACGCTGTTCGACATGAGCGTTGTCCTGAGATATACAGTAGATGGTTGGATTGTGAGAGGTAGGTAACGGGATTTAGGGGTGATGTTCACAAGAAGTTTGGTACAATAGAGGAAGCACTGTGTTTTATGTTGGGGATCTAGATTCTCTGAGCTTCATGTGCAAGATCTATTGCGTCCTACTGGGATGCATATTATGAATTCAGATTTTTTTATCCCCATCTCATTTCTCAAATTTGTGAATTTGTTCTTCTCAAGCACTTTGGTGAATATGTCCGCGATCTGGTCCTGTGTTGAGATATAGAATAGATCCACTATTCTTGTGAGCATGTTCTCGCGGATGTAATGTAGCCACATCTCTATATGTTTCAATTTTCCATGACATACTAAGTTGCAAGCTGATTTCAGCGTGCTTGGATTGTCGCATAATAGGTATATGGGTCCCTGATCTGTTTTGTGAATCCTTGATGCTAGGATTTTGAGCTAGATGGCTTCTCGAATGCCTGCAGCTAGGACTCTTGCTTCTACATTTGTGGATGAGATGGCGACGGTGTTGTTTTTTTTTGGAGGCCCAAGAGATTGATTTTCCTACGGATTTAAACACCCACCTAGTTATCGATTTCTTATCAACCTTGCAGTTAGCTCAGTTGGAGTTTGTGAAGCCCAGGATCGTTGTACTGTGATTGCATTTATAAAAGATACTAATGTCTAATACACCTTTTACGTAGCAAAGGACATGTTTTATGGCTTGCAGGTGTGGCACGGGAGGATTGTGCATGAATCTGCTAAGAACTCCAACCGCAAATGAGATTTCAGGTCCTGTGTTCACCAAGTAGATTAACATGCCAACTAGTTTCTAGAATCTATTATTGTTGACTGGGGATGAGTTTTCTTGAGTGCAGAGGTTTAATCCTTCGGTCATTGCTGTGGAGACCTCCATATTGAATTCTCTGAGGATCTGTTTTTCTTAACTTTGTTGTGAGAGAAAAATTCCATTAGGGCTACATATAAACTCCTCTATTAGGTAGAAGTTGATCTTGGAATTGTTAGGATCATCTTATTACAAATTCTATTTTATCTTCTACAGCCAAGTGTCTAGTACATTTTCAAACAAACTTCATAAAATATGATACTAGATGGCTTCTATAATCCTTCAAATTCCAATAAGGTTTGTCCGTTGTTTTTTCTAGTTGAAGTTAATTGGAATATGTTTAAGATTCCAATTAAATTATAACAATGTTAATCAATCTTTAATTAAATTCTTAAAGAAGTCTCAAGAACTTACAAAAGAAACATAAAAATATTATAAATTAATTTTAAAGAATTATATATAATAAAAATATCCTTAAAAAAATTTCAAAAACAAAAATCCTAATTGAATCCTAACTAAATCATAATTTAATTCTTAACAAATCTTAATGAAATCTTAAATCAATTCTAATCAAGCCATAAATAAATCTTAAATCCTAAACAAATCCTAAATCCTAACTAAATCCTAAATTAAATTCTAATAAAATTTTCATCAAATCTTAAAAATTAAAAAAAAAAAAAAAAAAAAAAAAAAAAAAATCCTAATAAAATCCTAAATCTTAATCTTGCATCAAACCTAATAAAATCCTAAATCCTAAACAAACTCTTAATAAATCCTATAGTAGATTAAAACTTCAACAACTAATGATTGAACTATTGATATCAATTCAAAATTTACATACTTCTCAAGAACTTAGTCGAAAAAAGTACAAAAAAATGAGATCAATTGTACTTACCAATCAAGAGAAATGTAAAATAATTCATTTAGGTATTGAGCAACCTCCTTCTTCAACCTTGATGCTAAGCTTCTAATACCAATATTTCCTTTTCAAACCATTGTATTACTCTCAAAATTCACACAAATGTTGAAAATCAAGTCTAAAAGCCATATAAATAATTTTTATTTTAATCCAATAAGCAAATTGTTAAAGATCTTAAAAACTCTCACTAACCCTTAAACTCAAATTTGTATACTCTCAATCCACTTGAACTTCAATAACTGTCAATATAAAAATTCAATTAAGCTCAAATTTATAACACAACTATACTCAAAAACTTACAAATTTTTACTTGTAGATCTACCAAAAAATTCATAAAATTTTCCAAAATATCAATCCTATTTTATTTTCCAAAAACCAAAGTCACCCAAAACAACCCTGATTTTGTAAAGTTCTTATAAAGTCATTACAAATTCAAATCCCTCAAAATTAATATTCAAATAAGCCTTACTTGCTTTACCTTCAAATCTCACTCATCAATTTGCAAAAGAACCTCGAAAATGGAATAAATGCTTGATTTTGTGCCTATGGATCTGATTTTGATCATGATTGGCAATTGATCATCATTAGGTATCAATTCTTATTTTCTTGAGGTATTTTTTTCTAAAATCAATTCCTATCTCTCTTTTACATATGTTTATATCCTCTGTTTTTCTAATCTACCTTATTTTGCCTTATTTATGGCCATACAAAATAAATAGAATCTATTTTTATAAATAAATAATTCTAACACTACAAGATTCTATTATATGCCTATCTCTTATCTATATTTTTTTACTATATCATTTTAATTAGGTCTTCTATAATAAAATGCTTTCTTTTTTCTTTCATCTAATGGCCATGTTATTCTATGACACTAAAATAATCATAAAGACAATTTCCTTCAAGTTCCTATTGAGAAATGCTGACTTAACATCAAGATGTAGTAAGAGTTAGCCATGACTTGTTGCTTGGGCTATGATAGAGTGAATGATCTTTTACTTTGTTACTAAGGCAAAAAATTTGTTATAATCTACTCCATGTATTTGTTGAAACTCGTAAACTATAAGGTACACTTTGTGTTTGATTGAATGACCATATTTGCCTATTTTGATATTTAAAATCTACTTGGAAATGACTATCAAAGCTTATAGAGGGAAGTTGCACAATTCACAAGTATTATTCTTAATGATGGATTCTTATTCATGTTAAATAGCTATTTTCTACTCTAGATTTATGTTAGCAATGGCAAAGATCAAGGAATTTGTTGGTTCTTTGGTGAGGCCAAAAAAGTAATTGAAGTTGTTAGTATATTCGTAATTTGTTGATTTTAAGGGCAAAAAAGCCAAATGAAGTTAGTCCTAGGAGTAGATTGTATTGTTTCATAGTTATGAAAATAGTTTGTAGATCCAAATAGGGAGATGTCAAGGTTGTTCTTGATATGTTTGTATTGTCATATACATTGATATAAGAGTATTGGCTTAATCAAGTAGTGATAATTTAGGATTTTTTAACAATTCTCCAATATGTGCTCTTAGATGTTCGGTTTTGAATAGAAAAAGAGATGTTAGTAGAAATGAAGCGGTAATAGTATCATTACATGTATGTATTTGATATTTCATGTTTGGCACTTCCACAAAGTTGGTGTCTATATTATTTATAGATGAATGTGATATTTTTTAGTTTAGTATAAAGATTTTTCAAATTAGATGTTGTATAAAATAAAATAAAAATATATTCTTTAGAAAGTTGGATTTGATATTTTTTTAATTTTAGAATCAAAGCCCATTAGCATATTATTGGCTTATATCAAGAGCTTATTTTATTGGTCATTTTTAATCTATACATAGGTATAAGATTGAATAAACAATTGATAAACAAAAGATCTGGAGTAGAAAATAGCTATTTAACATGAATACTCCAGATTATTTTATAAGATCTTTTGTTTATCATTTTTAATCTATACATAGGCATTATTATAAATAATTTTTAGAAAAAAGTTATCTTAGAAGAACTTTTGTTGGTGATCACTTTAGTAAGAATGTGATGGTATTAATTACCTTCATTGAGAGGAATGTTAGAATTTCAATGTCAATTGTGATGGTCCTTACCATATTAAATAATTTCTAATTTGATCTTTCAACAACTTTGTTCTATTTTGGTATAGAAGCATTGATGAATTGACTATATGTGCTATTATTTTGACATAAAGTGATGAAATCTTCTAAAAAAAGAAATCTTTTCTACAATCACTAAGGATTGATTGGTTTTTTTTTTAAAAAAATTAGAGTTGAATCATTTTCTTGAATTTAATGAACTTTGCAAGAATTTGTGACTTGTGACAGAAAAAATAGACCCATATGTATTAATTGAAATTATCAATGATGACAAGAAAGTAATTTAAACTGCCAAGAGAAAACAAAAATAGGCCACAAAGGTGCATGTAAATGAGCTTAAGAGTCTCATATGCACATGTTGTACTAGTTTGAAAAGGGCTCTTGCTAAATTGCTTTGTAATTTGACAGAGGCTGCAAACTTCACTATGCTTAAGAATGTGAACTAGTCTAAATACTATATTCTATGCTCAAAGGTTGTAAAGCCTTTTGGAGCTTATATGATATAGAAAATAGTACTAGAGTTTTACCATGTAATGTTCAAACTAAGTTAGATTGGCAAAAAAGTTTGTATTTTTTGATGTGAATTAATACAATTTGTTGAGCCAATTTTGAATTCCTTTAACTATGATCTTTTTATGACCTTTACTATAAAAAATACATTTATGGTTTTTGAAATAAGCTTTGATTCTATTGTTAATAAAATATTCTATTAATAATAAGCTTTTTTTAGTCTAAGAATATAAAGAATATTATATATTTTTTATTTTATGAAATAAAAAAATAAATTACACAATTTCTTTTCCAATAATAACATGGTTTTTACTACTTATGGTTTTTATATTGCCTCTATATACTTCTAGGCTATTAAATACTTGGCACTTTCTAGTGATATGTTGTGTTGTACCATTGTTAAGATATCATCTTAAAACTATGTTATTTCTATCTAATTAGGATATGATTGTCTCAAAGAGGTATTGATTTTCTTAATCTGAGATAAGGACATCATTTATTTTGAATGTAACATCCCTTGAGTTTGGCCGATCTTGATTGTATTGTTCTAAGGCAATAGATTGGAATTTCAGACCTACCTTCTCTATCTGTGAGATTCAAGTTTGCAGATGTCAACAAGTCTTTTTGGCCACATGTACTTTAGATGGCTTGTCTTTTTATAATAATTATAATAATTTTTTTAATAATTTTCATTGAAATGACTATAGTAAAAAAAAGAATGTATGTGGATTGGCTCTAGTATTTCTAAGATACCAACCAAAGTTTTCCTGGATTTGGTTCAAGTTGAAGTATACTACTTTATTTCTT